CCGCCTGCCCTCCCTGCCCTCCCCTGCCCATTCCCAGCAGATGCAGAAATTTCACTCTGTTTTGTTCAGGAACAGTACCCCCACACCAGCTGTGCCAGGTCCATGCAGGGGTTGTGGGTGTGGACCTACCCCCGGAGCCACTGTCTGCTGGGGCACTGGGCACGGAAGCCCCTAGAACAGCCATTGGGGTTGGAGAGCAGGGGGCCTGGGTTTGGAGGAATAAGGGCTGAAGCAGCTGAGCAGACCTGGGGCTTCTGGGGAGGACGGGGGCCTCCCAGCAGGCATGGGGCAGGGTAGCTCGCCCTGTGGGGGCCACCAGCATAGCCCCAGCCATGATGGGGAGATGCAGGGAGGGTGGGCAGGCCCGTCGCTGATGATTTGCAAGAAGGTAAAAGCCAGTGTGTCTCGATGTTTCATGCTTAGTGTGATCCTGGGCACCTTCTTGTCCTCGGAGCCGTGAGGAAGCTTCTGGACACAAGGCTTGGAGTGGACATGGGAGGAGGGCCAGGGAGGGCGAGGTGGGAGATTCCCACCCTGTGCCTCTGTCACCGCTAAAGCCTCAGTGAGGAGGTCAAGTTGATGTCCAGCCCTGGGGCCAGAGGAGCAGGCTGCCAGAGGGGCATCTGGGGTCAGAGCACCAGCGGGAGCTGACTTCCCACCCCAGCTGAGCCAGACCCCACGCCCAAGAGGGGGGCTGGCCTCCAAAGACCTGGGTGGTCTGCAAGGCAGCTGAGGGCCATCCGAGGGGCAGCTGGGGTCCAGAGCCCCTCCCTGAGGCTTGTTCTCTGGGCCGTTGGGACTGGGGCGCCTCTTCATACCCGTGACCATGGCCCAGGCCCAGGCCCCAGAGCCGAGAGCCTGGGGACAGCGGCTGGTGCCCAGCCGCCCCTTCCCCTGCACCCAGGAGGGGACCCCTTGGGTGAGCCGTCCTTCCTGAGGCGGAGGGGGGCTGCCGGGGCTCCCTCGGAGGGCCCAGCGGAGCCTGGGATGTTGCAGGCAACCCTTTCCCCCAGGCCCGAACCCCTGCCGGCCCAGAGCCCCCTGGTCATGAGCATCCAGGTGGGACTGGGCCATTGGATAAAGGGCTCTGGCAGGAACAGCAGGGCGGGGACCCACATCTTGAGATCCCCGTGCAACCGGAGGGAGACCCCAGTGCCTTATCAGTGCCTCAGGGGCAGCTTGAGGGCCAGAGAGGGAGTGGGGCAGACGCAGAAAGCGCCCCTGGCGGTGGAAGACCGAGCAGAAGGGCAGAGCTGGGCGCGTGAGGCGGTTGGGGGTCCCGGGGGCAGGAGTTCTAGAAGACAGGCAGGGGGACACAGGGAGAAACTCAGGGCCATTTCCAGGTGAGGGCTCAGGTGCAGACCCCGAGGGCTCGCCCCGTGCCTGGCACCAAGGCTGTGGACCAAGGCGCATGCCGCGAAGGGGCAAAGACATGTGGGTAGAAAGACAACAGGGGGCTGGACACACGTGAGGACTGGGGGCCTCAGGCTCCCTTTGCAGCCCTGGAAACCAGGAGGGGGTGGGGCCGGGGCCTCAGATTTCTAGACCGCTTTTCCCCGCCAATCCGTCATCATGGAAACAGCCCCAGGCACACAGAACTCCCACCTCGTGTCTCCTGAGCGCCCTTTCTCAGGGTGCAGGGGTGGTGCCATCCCCCCGCCCCCCAGAGGGTGAGCAAACCACAAAAGAGGACAAAGCCAGAGGCAGAGGGCAGAGGCAGAGTGGGAGGGTGGGAGTGGCAGCCCCGGGCCGGCCCAGGGGTCCCAGTGGCCACGAGCACCTGGGGGGGCCTGTCCCCACGGTGATCCATATCTGAGGTCACTGCCCTTGTCCTCACCCCACAGCCAGCTCGCTGAGGATGGAGACCCCCTCCATCCCATTAAGGGGAAGCTGCTGGTGAGATTTCCAAGTGCCGTGCCGTATCGCCTACGAACAATAATGCAGGCAGTGAATCTTGAAGGAAAGCAAGGAGCTGAGTCGGAAGCTGAGTTGGGAAAGTGTCTGCCTGGTGGGAGAGGGCATCTCACTGGGCGGCTCCCGGGCTGTGTACCCCGCCCCCCCACCATCGGGGCTAGGGCTGCATCTTCTTTAACTGTGTGTGCAGAGCCCCAGGAGCTGGAGGGAGGGTGTTCTGGGGGCCACACCCCAGGGGGACATGGGGAGGCCCCGGGTGACCAGGCGATGCTAGGGAAAAACAAGCTGTGCTGTGACCCTGATTCCCTGATGTCATGCATATAGGGCCTTCCCTTGTGAAGAACCCCTCAGCTGTGTCTCCAGCCTGAGCTGGGGCCAGTGAGTTAGCAGGGTGTGGGGCTGTGTGCAGATGGCAGGATGCCAGGGAGTCATGGCCTCCGCAACCCTGTTGGCCCAGCTAGCCCCCAGCATTCTCGAGAAGCACCGGGCGTGGGTATTTGGCATGCGTCTCCGTGAGCTGATCCACAGACATGGGTGCTATGCTCAGCGCTGTGCATGGATGCACATGGGTGCACTCACCTGACCCTCTCCATTATCCTACTGGGTAGGTACTATGAACCCCACTTACAGGTGGAGAAAGTGAAGCTCAGGAACACAAGAAACGTGGCTGAAATCTGGAAGGTGGTCTGTGCTGAGGCGGGAGGCAGCCTGTCAGCCCACGCTGTTCCGCACTGCCGTGTGGGGGCGTGGGCCCCAGCTCCAATGCCTGGCTTTGCACACTTGTGTCCAGGTTCATCTGGCCTCATCTCGGCCCTGGGGAGTGGTGGTGGCCTTCCCACAGGCAAGGGAGTCAGAGCATAGGGTTCTTGTCAGACTCCGGGGACGGTGGCTGCCCCAAGCCAAGGCCAGGTTGGATCTCTCCTGGACAGCAGGCCACTGAGTCCGTGTGTGCAGGGGTGGGTCTGGGGATGACGGGCTTCCTGTGGACCAGACCTGGGCACGTCCCAGGCTCTGGACATAACTCAGGCCGTCCTTTCTGCTTCTGGCTCTCTTCCGTTTGTGTGGGCTCCTCCTCGTAGGCATTACCTGGGGGGCCCAGGTGTGGGACCTGCATTCCAGCCTCTGGGCTAGGACCCTGCCAGGAGGGCTGGGCACCCGGAGGGCCTGGCCACGTGAATCCATTGCCCCTCCTTTCGTACCCCTTGTTGGGCAGAGACAGCTTCTGTGTAGGAAGCAGCTCCTTCCTGTTGATGGCGCAGGCCAGGCCGTGTTCTGCAGGACAATGCAGGAAGGAGGACACGGGGCACAGAGCCTCAGGCCTGCCTCACCCCAGCCTTCGTTTCTGTGGGGAGCCAAGGTCGGAACCCCTGGCCCTCCTGCTCCTGATCTACATGCAGCACTCAGCCAGGTGCGGGAAGGCCCAGGCCGTGGACAGAGCTGGTGCACCCTGGCACGTGTCCGTCTAGCCCTCTCTCTGGAGCATCTTGGGGGCTGGTCGCCAGTCTAGGCTCCCACCTGCAGAGGCCGCTGGTTGTGTTTAGGGCAAGGTTGCCGTTCGGCTGACTCTGCGTCCCCATAGCTGCACCGTGGTCGGCTGTTTGAACTGTCCAGAGCCCACTTGCTGGACAGACGTGGCACCTCATGGGTGGCTTGCTGAGTGCCCTTCGGAGGTCTGATGACACGGATAGGGAGGCCCTTGGGGGAGGGGGCTCGAGCCTGTCCTGTCCGATGGGGGCTGCCCCCGCCTGACCTGGCAAATGAGGCAGCTGGCCCTTGGCCTTGGAGGCCCCTCTCTTGGGGCCCAGAGTGTCTTAGATGATGCGGGCCTTGTGGGTCGTGCATCCCTCTGCCTTGAAGAAAGGGGTCAGGCCTGATGTGTCCTCTGGGCAGACTGGGAAGTCCTGGGAGCCCTCGGGGCTGGGCCTAGACTGGGGGCTCTGGGAGCTCACGGTCTCCCAGGGAGTTGGTCACGGGCGTGAGGTGTAGACAGAACTCAGTTGCAGTGCTTCCTTGCTCTGTTTGGCCTTGGTTGAGATGGGAGGTCTGGGGTCTGGGCCAAATGAGCTCAGGGTGTGTGCAGAGGTCACCTCACTGGCATGGGGGGGGTCAGGCGTGGGGGGATTCGTGGCAGGCATCTGGCCGAGTGGAGTGGAGCCTGGTTGTGCGCGTGGGGGGAGGTGGCTGAGGCGCAGGGGAGGAAAGGCTTGGCGGCGGTGGGGGTGGGGGGTGGGAATGATCACCTTGCCCCAGGAGCCTCTGGGCAAGGAGGCAGCATGTCGGATAGGCTCCATGGTATGAGGGTCCCCGGGGGCGCTCCTGTCCCCGCTGTGTCCAGCGCCGCGCAGCACTGGGCCCCACCCCCTGCTCTCGGGGGTCCCTGGACCCCACCCCCTGCTCTCCCGGGTGACGGCCCGCATGATGGGGGCGCGGGGAGCCAGTTGTCACACCCTCTGCCTTTGCAGGTACTACGAGACCTTCACCAACTGCACGGAGGTGGAGACCAACGTGGTGGGCTGCTACTGGCCCAACCCCCTGGCGCAGGGTTTCATCAGCGGCGTCCACAGGCAGTTCTTCGCCAACTGCACGGTGGACAGGACGCACTGGGAGGACCCCCCGGACGAGGTTCTCATCCCGCTCATTGCTGTGCCGGTCCTGCTGACCGTGGCCATGGCTGGCCTGGTGGTGTGGCGCAGCAAGCGCCCTGACCAGCTGCTGTGAGGCTCGGCGGTCAGAGGGGCCGCGCCTAGAGAGAGGGAAGGCCGGGCCGGGGGCTGGGGAGCCGCCCAGGACCCGGACCCGGACCCGGCGGTCGTGGGCAGGCGTCACCCGGCCCCGCAGCTCACTGCAGTCATGCTGCTCACCCAGGCTCTTCCTCTTTCTTGGGCTGGGGAAGAAAACGCACCAAGCCCGGAGCCCGAATCGCTGCTGCTGTGCCCGCTGCCCAGGCTGGGTGTCCAGGCCATTCCTTTGCAGAGCCCTGCCTGGCCCTGGCCGGGCCTCCTGCCCTCACCCTGCCGGGTCCCTGGCTCTGACTCCACCTCCCAACCCGACCTTGACCCCTGTCCTGACTCCACTCCCTGCCTGGCTCTGACTCCACCTCCCAACCCGACCCCACCCCCTGCCCTGACCCCACCCCTGTCCCGACCCCACCCTCTGCCCTGACCCCACCTGCTGCCTGGCTCTGACTCCACCTCCCAGCCTGACCCCACCACCTGCCCTGACCCCGCCCCTGCCCTGACCCCGCCCCTATCCCGACCCACCCCCGCCCTGACTCCACCTCATGCCTTGATCCCAGGCCTGGCCGGGCTCTGACTCTACCTCCCAACTCGACCCCACCCCCTCCCCCGGCCACACCCCCTGTCCTGACCCCACCTTCCAACCCGGCCTACCCTCTACTGGCCCCACCCCCTGACCTGACTCCACCTCCTGCACTGGCCCTGGCTCCACCCCTGGGTTGACTCCACCCCCCCCGCCTCCGGGCGCTGCCCTGGGCCTCCCTGGCCGGCCCACTCACACCTCAGCTGGGGTTGCATAGAGTGTGAGCGCTGTGTTTGTAGGATCTTGCTGCGCTGTGTCTGAGCCCTCCTGGCAGGGAGCCCATGCACGGCCTGAGGACGGAAAACCCCGACAGACTGAGAGTCAGGCCGGGGTCCCCTGGCGGCCAGGCACCGCCTGAGACCTCTTGTCTGTGCCCCCAGCGCAGACCTCCTTCCCAGGCCCCAGTGAGTCAGGCCCCTCTGGGCTGGGGTCCCGTGAGCTGCGTGCTGGCTGAGCTCTGTACTGTGTGTGCTTTCTCTGAGTAAAGAGTCATCCGCTTCTGGCTTTCCTGTTTTATTTCAGGGTATTCGGAGAGAGGCCTGTCTCTTGGGGCTGACAGGTCCTCACGCCTGTTTTCCAGATAGGGAGTGACTGAGGGATGCCCCAGAACCCCTAAATGTCAGAGTTCTGAGGGCTTCAAGCCAGGGGGATGTGGGCGGGTGGAGGGCCGCCAGGCAGGTGCTGGTGGCCTGTTCTGTGCGCGTTTCGGGTCGCCTGCTGGGTTTTCCCGGGAGGGGCCCGGTGCTGGTCCTGGGGGCATCCGATGGAGCATCGGATGGAGGCGTCTTGCTGGCTGCTGGCCCTGCTCCAGTCCCAAGGCTGTCTTTGCACGTGGGCTGTTTCCACCACGCCCTTGCTGGGACCAGCGGTGGGGCTGGGCTCTGAGGGAGGCCAGAGAGAGCAGGCAGGCAGGTCCCGTGCCCTTCAGAGGCCCTGTTCCTCTTGCTACCCCAGCTCTTGATGACTTTCCCCTGCAAGGGGTCCGAGCAGAATGGAACCAGCAACTGCTGGTTCTCTGGAACCCTATCCCAGGATGCGGTGGTCTCACCCATGGATCTCCACCGACTGTCACCTGGCCAGCCAGAGCCTACCTGCTCCCTGCTACTTTGGGGTTGAGTCTCCACGGCCGGGGCCCTCCCCTGGGGAGCTGTCATCTGTCTGCCATCGCTCTGAAAATCATCTTTGGCTGGAGGTGGGGTATGAGTGTCCTCTGCTCAGCTTTGTGGGGGTGACAGGTCACAGCGCAGCCAGGGGGACCCTCACTGTCCCATGTTCACGGAGGGTGACCGGCAGGAGAGAACGTGGCATACCTGCTGTGGGTGGATGGGGCCGAGGTGCAAGGATGAGGTCGTCCTGGGCAGAGCCAACCCGGGCAGCCCAGGATGTTCCTTGGGGTCTCCCAGGCCTGTTGCATTTGTAAACTTATATCCATGTGAAGCTGCGTGTAGTCGGGGACTGTGCTGGCCTGGGCTCTGCATCCATTCCCACGCTCAGCCTGGCTCAGCCGTCTGCCCCTTGACCCTTCCCTCCCCGGGGCTGCCTCGGGTCACTCATCCCTATATGGTGAACGGATGTAACCGCAGGTGAAGGTAGACCAGGGCCGCAGAACCTGCTTCCTTTGGCTCCCGCTTCTATGCTCCATATGTTTTGTTTCTGAGCATTTTGGTTGTTTAGAAGGATATTATTTTAGTCTGTTTGGGCAGCTACAGCAACATACCACAGACTGGGTGGCTTGTAAACAACAGAAATTGACTTCTTACAGTTCCAAGGGCTGGAAAGTCCAAGATCCTGGCTGGTAGATTTGTGAGGTGTCTGCTGAGGGCCCACTTCTGGCTCCCAGATGTCCTCGCTCTGTCCCTTCTTGGGGGGAAGGGGTAGGGAGCTCTTTTATGAAGATGCTGATCCCATTCATGAGGGCTCCAACCATGAATGCCGTCCCATCGGGCAGTAGGTATTCCACACGTGAGTTTGGGGAGGACACTAACATTCTGACCTCAGCAGATGTGAAAGGGACCCTGTCCCTCAGTGGCTGCGATTCGTGCTGGAGGACAGTCAGGGAGAGATAAAACAATGACATCATTGCTTTCGCAGGTGCTCTTGGCGGCTGTGCTCCCAATACACAGCATTCATGGGTGTCTCTTCGTCTCATGGATTTGCTCTCCAGTAGGAACATGGTGTTAAATCGCACCGTTGGAGGACTGAGCTCTCAATCAGGGGATCAACACCAAATAGATATTAGTGATGGTCAAAAAGGTATCTGGGAAGCACACGTGCTTTCTCGGTTATCCAGCCCTAATTAACTAGGTGGTGGGCGCTGTGAGGGCTGGGGTCCGTGCAGACACCTTTTGCCCTCAGAGGGCTCCCTGTCTGTGAGTCTGGGAGATGCGAGGTGGCTGCAGAGGGCTCTGTATTGGGCGTGTGTGGCCAGCCCGGCAGTGAGTGGGGGGAGGGCACATGGGGGGGCATCTGGGGCAGGTGGGTTGGGGTCAGCCCCCTGGGCTCCAGGAGCCTTACCCACCTGCAAAGGCTTTCAGAAATCAGGAGATCAAGTAAACACACACATCAAAAGTGGGGATGTATAACAATGAACCAGCGTGATATAATACATATCTACTGTTGACCATCTATCGATCATCCACCTGTCTGTCCTTCCCAAATGGAAGTATTCATTCTTTTCAAACACCCATGGGGAACTGATAAAAGTTGTTACGAGGGGCACCTGGGTGGCTCAGTCGGCTAAGTGGCTGCCCTAGGCTCAGGTCATGATCCCGGGGTCCTGGGATCGAGCCCTATGTTGGGCTCCCTGCTCGGCGGAGAGCCTGCTTCTCCCTCTCCCTCTGCCTGCTGCTCTGCCTACTTGTGCTCTCTATCTCTCTGTCAAATAAATAAATAAAATCTTAAAAAAAAAAGTTGAAATGATCCAGGCCACAGTCCTGGGTTGAAAGGACTTGAGAGGCAAAAGAAAGAAACTTTCACTTGGAAATTGCAAAAAAACCTTTCTGTATAATTTTGGATTCAAGAGGCAAGAAAAATGGAAATCACAATTGCTTTAAAGTCAATAAGGATAAAAGCACTGCTGGCACGCCAGCGCACACAAGATACATTTGTGCTCGGCAGTGGGGGGCTGTGCAAGGCGTCTGGCGCCCAGCGTGACTGACCGAAGCAGGGACGGGCATCCTTCCCGCCGCCGGCCGACTGCCCAGCCCGGGGGGTTAGTGCTGGGGGTGTTGATGGGCCCCAAAGCCCTGCACGGCCACAGCGGTGTATAACCTTAGATGTGCTTTCCAGAAAATATGAAAGATTGAAACAAAATCTACTAAGCATTCAACTCAATACGCTAGTAACAAATAGCAAAGAAAATGCGTATAGAAGGAGGAAATAAATAATGACGGGAATAGAGCTAATGAAATAGAAAAGTTAGAGAAGATTTGGTCAATAAAATGGCACATTTTTTCTGAAGGCAACAGGTGAGGTAGGAACCCCAAATAGAATAATCACCACAGAAGAAGCTACTCAGATATTAATTTACAAGGTATGACAATGGGCCCTATGTGCGTGTTTCCATCATCTGTTCCTATGTGATGTATAAACTGTACCGGATCATAGACAAAGACAGGAAGTTCCCTCAGTAATGGTACACAGCCCGGGTCACCTTCACCCGCTGGGACATGTCCTGCCGGAGGTAGCAGACAGCCTGAGCATGACCAACAAGTGGCTTAAACAAGCTTGTGGTGGTATTGTATATATTTTTTATTTTCTGTGTATTATGATGTTTCGACATTTTAAAAAAGATTTTATTTCTTTAGTAGTGAGAGAGAGAGGGCGAGCGCACAGAGGGAGAGGGAGAAGCAGACTCCCCTCTGCAGGTCTCCATCCCAGGACACCGGGATCATGACTTGAGCTGAAGGCAGACGCTTAACTGGCTGAACCACCCAGGTGCCAGATGTTTCAGCATTTTAAAAAACTCTTTCTGGCTGGGGAGAGACTGACCCTTCTGGGTTAGCTGGTTCTTGGAGATGGAAGGGCCCCGTGGAAGCATACCTTTGATATGCAAACTGGCCCAATCCAGAGCCAGGCTCTATCTACTTGGACCAGGGAGGCAGGACCTCTGCTTTCATCATCCCAGGCAAGGTACCAGGCAGCGAAGGGACACCCCTGTAGTTTAGAACCTGCTAGAATTATTCAAAGTAGCCAATTTTAGGCTTTTCGCCCTGTCCTGCCTTGCCTTTCCTCTGGAAACCCCAGTAGACACTCTGGCTGGGGCTCTCCCTTCCTCCTGCTCCTGCCACGTGACCATGCTCGTGCCTCCCCGTGTGGCTTGTTGTGCCTCCTGTCTCTGGGCCCTAAAGGTACAATAGCCTTTGTTTCCTGAGCCTCTCCTGTGTGTCCTCCACGGGGCACCCGACTGACCGTCCGTGGCTGGGGCCGCGATCCGGGGATGGCCTCGTTACCTCTTTCCTGGAGCTTGCCCAGCTGCCACAGCTCAAAGCATCCCACTTGCATCCGGGCATGAAGCAAGGGGTAAGGTGAAAGGCAAAGGCATTTTCTTCTTGGGATTTTACCTTTTATCCAGGAAATCTAGCTCTTCTAGGGCTTCTCCCTGTGACTCTTGGCCAGACTTCCCCACAGGACCCCTTCTAGCTACAGGAGAGCCTGGGAATAAAGCCTATCACGTCTCAGCTTCCAGAGGAGAAGCACGGGACGGAGGGGAGGGAATGAGCAGCCCAC